ACTGATGAAGCTGCTCTCGCCCACACGTACGTATCCACAGCGCCCAAACCTCTCCGCAGGGATTCAGGTGTCCTTGTAAAGCTGCCGCCAGACCGTGTGAGCTGCCAGTCAGGTCTTGTGATGTGACGGCCAGCTGGGTGCTGACAGAGCGATCTCCTGCAATAGCGGGTCTTTCAGAGACTCCGCCCTCAAACAATTGAATTCTTTGAAAGGTAAACCTGAGACTCTGCAGAAAGCGCTGGAAAAAGCCAGTGGTCACAGTGCCAGCAGCGACCCTATGGATTTCACATCGCGTTCACTTGCCGCTCTGTGAGAGGAGCCTTGGGGTTTTTGTTTCTGCTCACCCTCTTGCCGACAGAAGCTCTACTGAGGGGGTTGGCACGAAGGTTAAAAGGCCACTTTGTTCCGCACGGACCAGCAGGCGTGGGTGAGGTCTGTGAGCTCAGTTTGCCCAGCAGATAACCCCTGCTCTTGCCCCTCCTCCGCAGACACCTGCGTGGTGAGCCAGGTGTTCAGTCTCTGTTTCCACGGATGGCAGGTCACGTGCTTGACCAGAACTGCTAACGACTGCTGGCAGTTCCCACACCAGGAGACACAGGAGTGACGACGACCAGCGCAAGTCCTGCCGTGTCTCGCATTTGTCCTCAGACGAGACCCCAGTTTGGACGCCTGCACCAAAATATCCGTCCCCAGCTGATACTCCCCTTCGCTGCACCCACGGGAGGAGTCCCTTCGGGGTTCCGCACCGTGGGAATGCGGGCAGAGGCCCAGTAAACCTTATTGTGGGTCTAGATATGTGTCCCATTTACCTTGGAAGGTCTTTTTCATGGGATCCATTGTACCATAAAACAAGCCACTTGGTTCTCAATTTCTCAGAGTAACGGTGGAGACGGCAAAGTCAATCCTTTGTGCAAAGTCAACCCGAGGGTACCTGGGTTTTAAAGATGCCGTGCCTGAACTCTCCTAAAAGGAGCAGGCAAGTGGAATGATGTCATTTCCAAATGATGTCATTTGTCCTGTCTGCTCTTGAACTCCGTACTGAAATGATTCACCATTCTTACCAAAGTGGGTATCCCTTGCTAACTTAATTTCAAAAATCTCATTTTCCTAAAAAATGTTTCATATTTGTCTCCTCCCTTCTGCACTCTTTCCCTTCCAAATATATTACCTGGCTTCCGTAGGCAGCCAGGGGCTTTGGTTTGTTGTCTCTCTGATGAGACTTCAATGTACTCTAAGTCAGCGTAAGGGTCCATCTGCAATGGTGAAGGCAACCACCCTTCCAGGTTCTTGTATTAATGTATCTTTTCAGAGATACCGTATTCACATGCAAGCTAATAGTGTATGATATATATTCGTTCCCCTCCGGATGTTAGCATACTCTACCTTACTTTTTGTTTACCTATGTATCTCAGAGATGTTTCCACATCTACATATAATTTTCCCATTCCCTTTTATGGTTACACAGTATTCTGCTGCACAAATTTACTGTAATTCATTGAACCAGGTTTCATATTGGTGAACACTTAGGTTGTTTCCAATATTTGGCTATTATAAACAATACTGCAAGAATATGGTACTGTCATTTTATACTTGATGATTATGTCTGGAAGACAAATTCTTAAAAGTAGAATGGATAAATGCATTTGTAATTTTGATATTGTCTATATTGCTTTCCCTACATATCAAATTATATTCTCATCAGCAAAATATTGAGTGCTCCTCATTTGGCAACACAGTGATTTCAAATTTTTTCAATTTCCCAATTTCGTAGGTGAAGATAGTATTTCACTGTTGTTAATGTGCATTTACAATAGGAGTGAGGTGGAACATCTTTTAGTATGTTTGAATTTCTTTTTTGATGGACTGTCTGGTTGTGGGCAAGAGATCAGACTACGTGGCGGCTTCGACTCCGAGGGCGTGTGGTCACGGAAGTCACGCCTGGACACGAGCAGTTCGGGCTGCCTGGAAGGCTGCAGGTTTGTCAGGGCTCAGCCTGCTCCTTCCTTCTTCCACTGCGTCAGCCATGTCTGCCATCGTAAGGTCACCTATGGCTCGTATTGTAAATATTTTAACATGTTCTGTACGTTATTTTGTTTTGACATGTTAAAAAAAGACAAAACCTTTCTGACTGGGGAGACTGCTCCTCCAGGGGCCAGCCCATTCCTAGATAACATAGGGGCCGTGGGGACCATGCCCTTGGAATGCAAACCAGCCACCCCAGAGTCGCCGCTCCGCCACCTGGCCTGTGCCCCCTGCAGACAACATCCCTCTGCCCCAATCGCCCCAGGGCCAGGTACCAGGCACCTAGGCCACCCCTCCAGCCCAGAGCCTGGCGAACTCATTCACACTAGCCCGTCCTCAACGGCCCACCCCGCTCCGCTGCGCCTTCCTGCGGAAACCCCAGCAAAGGCAGTGGCCGAAGCCTTTCCTTTGCTCCTGCCTTCCGCCTCCTGGCCACCCTGGTGTCCTTCCCACGTGGCTGTGCGTGGTGCACTGTGCCTTCTGTCTCCAGGACCCGCGTGTGTAACACGCTTTGTTTGTCCTGAGCCTCTCCTCTGATGGCCACCCCTGACTGACCGTCTGGTAAAATCCAAAACATGGCTCCAGACAGCTGGCGCCCACCTGCACTGCAGGCTGGAGTGGGTGTGGCCTCCTCCTTCTAAAAAGCTTTGCCGGAAGTTCCCTTTAACATTGTATCTTCTGTCTCAGCAAGAATTTGGCCGGCAGCACGGCTGCACTTAACCTTAGGGGGACTGGCAAATGAGCTTCTTAAAGGAGCACCTTGCCCTGAGATCAGTCAGTAAGACAGAAGAGGAAAATGAATACATTATTGAGAGGCAATTCACAAATCCTCCGTCAGTTTTACTTTTGGGTTTTTGTTCTTATGTGTAAAAGCTTTTTATATGTAAAGGAAATTATCTCTTTGCTACAGGCGTTACAAATAATTTTGTTATTCTTTTGACTTTGATTATGGTATTTTGTCATGTAAACATTTAAATTTTTCTGTAGTTGGATTTATCAACATTTTTTTATATGGTTTCTGGATCTTGGTTATATTGTATTTAGGAAGGCCTTCCCCACGCCAGAGCCTCTCATGGTTTCTTCTAGTACTTTTGTAAGAATTCAGACCGTGAAAGATTCAACTCCAAGGTGGAAGACCTCTTGGAACCAAACTTCTACCTAAGGCGTGAGCAGGAGCAGTGGCAGCTGGCTGACAGTGGCTGGATAATGCCACCATTCAACAGTGTGACCCTACAATAGTAGTACTGAATGGTGGCTCAGAGATTAAGGGCAATCTGGGCCCCTTCAGCTACTGAGTGGATCATTGCAGGCCAGTAAGAATTTACACTGAGTGAGATCTGAAACGGAAATCTAAATAGCCGCATCAGAAAGTTATTAGTAGGAAACCAAAGAAATCAAAGAAATGTTCATTTGTAAACCAGAGAGGGGGTATTTTAAAACTGTCCCCATTCACACTGGCAGGTTACTACTCAGTCCAATAGCTCCTTCTGCCTCTGGTGATAATTACTAACGGGCGGGCAAAGCCCCCTGTTAAGCCCCCTTACGGCCCGGAGTCACGGGGGTTAGGGCTACTCCCTTTTGCTGAGCCTGGACACTGGCCAATCTATAAATATCCTCGTTTATTTTGGTAAGATGGCAAATTCTTCTTCTCGGAAAGGAGTAATTTTAATAGGATGCTACATTAATTTAATTGGTTCAAAACACATTTTGTCTTTTTTTTTATATTCACTTTGTAAGAGACAGTGTTTTGCCCTGGGGCCCAGGCTGGAGTATAGTGGTGCAATCATAGCTCACAGCAGCCTCCAACTCCTTGGCTCAAGCCATCCTCCTGTCTCAGCCTCCGAAGTAGCTGGGATTACAGGCATGCACCACAATGCCCGATTTTTAAATTTTTTTTAGAGACGGAGTCTCACTATGTTGCCGAGGCTGGTCTCAAACTCCTGGGCTCTAGTGATCCTCCCACCTTGCCCTCCCAGAGTGCTGGGATTACAGACGTGAGGCACCGCGCCTGGTCAAAATTTCACATGGATACACACAAAGAGTTGGTCAACTTAGTCAAACACCTATTAAAGGCACTTTCCAAACTTGAATTCCAACGTTGCTTATAGCTCTGAATTGAAATATTCACTTGAACTTCCAGAGGTATGAAAACGTTATCCTATTATCATAGGAACAGAAAGTTAAATGATTAACAGTTGGAAACATCACCTTAATTTGTTCCTTCTAAATCCAATCAGACCCAGAAAGGCACTATGTCACACAGACTCCAAGAAGTGAGAGGAAATGTCTGAAACTAGAGAAGGAGGAGTGCCTTGAGTTCAAACAGCACTTTTCAAAGCAGCGACGTTATCTCCTTCGCTCCTCACCTTCACCCAGTGGGGCAGACAAGGCAGAAACAGCAGGAAACTATTAATAATCAACTTGCCCAGGTGATTACAAAGGCAGTATTTGGCAAAGCTACGGTGCAACCTAGACTTCACGAGTTTTAATTCTGATAAGTAATTTGATAGTAACCGAAAGTTAACAGGAAAATATTTTTTAACGTGACTTACATGGTCCTTTCATTTCATGGAAGCTTAACATGGTGGTGAGTCTACAGGCTGTCCCCAGCCACGCTGAGACGAGGGGGTTGTCGCAGGGTTGGTCACAGGCCGCTCCTGCGGCTGAGGCAACGCGAGCACTCACCGGATTATTTTAGTAACCTGAGGGAGACAAGGGAGCAGGAGTGTCACAGCGCCTTGTGAGACGGATTCCAGAAACTCTTTTGAGAAGACTTTGAGCTTCTTGGAGAACGAAACCATACGGTTTATTAGCCGGAGAGAGAAAATGTATCACGGTCTCCAAATTGATTCTTGTAGACACCTTCTGTTTGAGGCATACGCACAGAATTTTTATGAAGTAAAAATTAGGTCAAATGTGTGCCAGGTTAAAAAAAAAAAAAAAAAAGCAAAATTTTAAGGACTGACACAAGGGACACATAAAGGTTGAACATCAAATTTTAATCTCAAAACCTTTTATCCAGTCCTCAAATTATTGACATGAAAAGGAATGATAAACTGCAGTTTTATCATTACCGTATCACTGCGTAACAAGCCCTTGTTACAAAATCTCCATCTACTGTCTCCAAAAAACCAATAGAAAACCCATACATTATATTACCTAATGATCTATTAACAGATGAAATTTTAACCAACTTTATACCAGGAAACTATTAACAGAGGTACTTCAATCACATAGCTTAAAATGTGGAGAAAAGACAGGTAAAAAATTATCTTAACCTGTAGTAGTCTTTTTACTTTTTAAAATTTTTATAAAATACACTAATTTCCCAAAATAAAGAATATTATGACACATTGGTGTCAACTTACACAGATGAAAGCTGATGCCAGCTTTTTTCTAACTAAAGTTCATTTCACCAAACTTTTATATATTACATGAATATCCAAGTATTTCTAAAAAATTCAACACACAGGAACATAATGTACAGTGTTTTATTTTTTAAAAAATGGTTAATTTAGGAATGATTTTATTTTCAACCACATAATATATCTTTTTAAGACCATGAAGCCTCTTGTCACTGCAAGAAGACTTTTTAGTTCACCTTTCTATTTCCCAGTTTTAATTCTTAAAAGTAAAAAAAAAGAAAAGGTTTATTCATTTAGTGACCATGAGGAAACCGTGGTAACGATCTTACTCACTACCAGCTGTCTTCCCTCCGTTTGTTTCGGGACTGCCCAGACCCACAACCGCGTGGCACCGCAATGACACTGGTGGGGGAGGCCAATGACATCAAAGGGTGGATATAAAAAGACGGGCTCAGCTGGATCCTGCCACAATTGCAAGGTGTGGGCACGTTCACTCTCGCCAAGCCTCCCAGAGCTTCGGCGCGACGGCCACGGGAGTGGCCTCCCGGATAAACCCGTCCCTGCCGTCCGTCTGCTGGGAGGACACGAAAGAGCATTTTCACTCATGACTCGTGTGACGGCCAACGGACACCTTGGCCAGAGAGGGAGCTGCGTGCACTCAAGAGGCCGTGGTCAGCACTGGCTTTAGAGTAAGAAGAGAAGACTGTTTACTGTACACCTCCTGCACCGGTCGATTCTGAGCGCGAACTAACCTCCCCAGGAAGCTGCAGTGAAATACACACACCACGCACAGTCTACGGTACCGCGGGAATCCCGTTACACATGCAGGATGCGGGAAGAGTCACAATGGATGAATGGAAACTTCACAGTGTTTCTTACAGCCTTTGACTTTAACACGAGTGCACCACTTACCACCACTACCTCACAAACGTTTGACTGTGTCCCGGGCATGCAGGTTACTCGGGGTCAAATGGGAAGTGACATTGCACAGTCATTCTCAGACAGTGAGTACAACTTCAATTTTCTCTACTTCCCAACAAATGAATGGAGCTGCTTCTGCTATAAAACTAAATATATTTCTGAACACATTTTCTCCAAGGGTTGTGCTTTATTCTTCCCTAATCACTTAACTGATTTCATTCTAGGAAAACTAAAAACCTGCAAAATGAAACTGAGGGCTAGGTCTTATTAAGGGTGATTCCGGACCAAACTAGAAAGATGGGGAGTCGCTAACTTCTCTCGTCTCGAGTTTCTGTCTCCCTACCCCAGGCCCTTATGGATACGGACTCAGTTGCATGTTCGGTTTCCCAAAGAAGGAAACCAAATTAGAGTACTGGCGTTTCTGTCTTAAAGAAGCAAAACATAACCCCAAATTATAATGGTGAGGGGCAGGGGGCGAGGGGGGGAAGATGCATTCTACATCAAAACGAATCTCTTGCTCTCAACAGGAGATAATCCAGCTTCTCCTTGGCTATCATTTCATAAATTAATAATTTCTTAAAATCATAATCCGAAGAATTTATCTATTATAAGAAAAGTTCAAGTTTAAAAAAGCAAATAAATTAGTTAAGCCTTGTAAACAATTGTCCATTTTAGTTATATATCTTTAAAAAAAAAAGTTTCTCTGTGTAGTAAATCAGACAGTACGAGGCACACCTTACACGCCAGATTCCAGAGCGACACCCCCCCACGACACCCTCCTCGCTCCGCGTGCTGGTGCGACCGTGCCGGGCACCGGAGTCACCCACCAACCCCCTAAGCAGCTCCCGACCGTCCGCACGTCCACAACTGTACTCTTTCCGTTAAATCGCTTTGTGCTATTTTGCCGTGTGATGTGACTGCTAAGCCTTCTGCGTGTTGGCTTCCTCAGATGTTTTCCACAAAGCTTCCTGGGAAAAGGCCGGTTTTCCCGTTACGTTGCAACGTGCCTTTGAACCAGCCATCCTCTCGTTTTTTATGAACAAACACAATATCTCCTTCTTTGAGTTCGAGTTCCGCCTCGCTCTGGGGAGGATACGAAACCACCACCCTGTGCCTACGAGAGAGAGAAAGAGATTTTAGTCAAGCCTGTTCAAAGCCGTGGTTAAAAACAATGATGCACCATCCGTCTGCACGAGTAGGAAATAGCACGAGTCTGTTCACAGCCGTGTGTAAAACAACGCGAATGCGACTATTCACTGTTGAGTGGAGACCGGTGGTAACCAAGGCAGGGCTGGGATGTGCTCCTCGGCCCACTCCTGACGGCCCAGAGTGACCTGTGCGGGGAGAACCATCCCTGTCCCTTCCTCGTGTTTGCGTCTTCGCCACACAGAAGGAAGAGTTTTGTTCCGCTTTCCAGGAAGGGAACCATTCCTGTCATCTCCCGGAGTGAACTAGTTCGCTGGTGAGACTGGAGACGCAGCTGCGCAGGCGGGCTGCCCTCTCCGAGCCGCCGCCCACGGGCTAGTGGGCTCCCTCCGCCTCTGTGTTCTTAGCACAGAGGTCAGGGCTCGGCCTGCCCGCTGGAGGTGAGCCTGGAAGTCTGTCTCTGCGTCCCTTACGCTGGAGTGGGACATGGGTGAGCAGCAATTCTGAGGGCGCCCATCAACCCTACGTGCCCAAATTCTCCCTCAGGACGGTGGCCCCAAGGCCCGGACATGGAGGGCGGGCCGTGCCACAGTTCAACCCGACACCACCCGGCGAGGCTGACGTTCTCATCTGTCAGGCCGGTATCGTGTCTGCCTCTGCTTGGCTCTCAGACACCTCGGACGTCAGTGGGAGAAGGTCAGTCATCACTTCAGAACTGCAGAAGCCTTGTTAGTTTAAGACTATCAGTCCCCCTGCCTGCACGCTCCTGCCCCCAAAGGCAGGGTTATGTTTTTCTGTTCCGTATCCTTTTATCCTTCTCCAGCATTATTTCTCTCCTTGACTCCTCTCTTGCTTTTCCCGACCACAGGGGAAAGAATGGTGTCTGGCAGCCAACCTCCGCGACGGCCCCAGCGGTCCGCGCTCCTTGGCGTCCACACCCGTGTGCAGTCTCCTGCTGCAACGCGAGGGATGCCCCACGTGACCAATCCACGTTATGCAAAGGACAGTGTGTGATTTCCGTGGCTAGGTCATAAAAGGCAACGTGGCTTCCACTTTCCTTTCCCTTGGATCATTCGCGCCGGGGAAAGTCAGCGCCATGTTGCGAGCACACTCGACATCTCTGTGGAGAGCACCACCAGTAAGGCACTGAAGCCTCTTCCCAAACCCCAGACACCCAGACAGCAGTGACGCGGCCAGCACCTTAGAAGCAGACCCTCCAGCCCCAGTGAAGCATCAGCTCAGCTGACGTCTTGTCTGCAACCTCAAGGAACAACCTAAGCCACAATCACCCAGGTAAGCTGCTCCCTAATTACCTGATCCACGGAAACTGTGAAATAATAAATGTATATTATTGTTTTAAGCTGCTGAGTTTGGGGAGTAATTTGTTACATAGCGATAGGTAACTAATAAATGACAATACATATCCTTCTCTGTTTGATGCTAAGTAATGGGTATTTCATCACAAAGGTGACTGAGTTCCATTTTTATTTGGTTCTCAAAGTCAGAAAATGAGTTTATAGCATCACAGGACCCACTCTTGACTGAACGTGAAGAATGTTATGGCTGGAAAATGAGAGCCAGACAAATTCTATACAATTCCCCAAAACTTTGGAAACCCATTGGAGCCTCACCCTTTCACCAATCCCCATTCCATAAAAACCAGAATGTGAGGCCAGGCATAGCGGCTCAGCCTGCAGCCCCACTGCTTTGGGAGGCCGGGGCGGGTGATCACTTGGGCCCGGGAGTTCGAGGTTGCGGTGAGCCATGATCGGGCCGCTGCACTCCAGCCTGGGCCACAGAGCGAGACCTTGTCTCTTAAGAAAACAACAACAACAAAAACCAGAACCCACTCATATTAAGAAAGACCATGGCAACAGTTCCGGATTATTACACTATAAAAAGCGCATCTCTACAGAGGCTAAGTGGCTGCCCAAACAATTCCTGAGCTCCTTTGGGCACAGGGACCAAATTACACTCCAAGATCACAAGGAAAAGCACACCACGGAGGCTGGCTTATCATTTCCAAGAAAGTTCCAGCTAATTCGAACATGAATATTCACAGAGCACAAGGCTGGGGGTTCAATCAAGCATGGAAGGAGGGAGGCGGCACGGCAGTGTGGGAGAAGCTCTGGCCTGGGGGTCGACTCAGCCTTTAAAGTCAGTCAGAGCAGTTTAATTTGGGGCTAGTTATCTCAGCCTCTTGGTCTCAGTTTCCTCACCTGTAGAACAGGACTACAGTGAGTTAAACAGGTATTTAACATGTAGTGTGGTCACATTATATGAATTATGCTCTTAAAACAGCTTTTGGCACATAGTTCAATCCCGCCATGTTTCCTCCCATTATGACCATGTGGCTTAAGCGGCGTGGCAGGGTCATGGCATTGCCAGGAGGTGAGGACGGGCCGGGCAGTGGCTGGCCACCTCCAACCAGGAAACAAACTCCGGCCACCACCTGAACAACTTCCTGATAAGACCTGACAAACATTAGAATGACATGGTTAGGGTTTTGCAATCCCTTCTCTGATATCTTTAAAAGCAAGACAAATAATTTCATCATGGATTTATCTGAAGGAAGGATCTAGATGAGAAGATTTCTCAAGTCTGATGTCAACATGCCAAAAATCCGTGTACAAAGTAATGATGTAGTTGCCATTTGGGGAAAGTTAAAATTTAAGCAAAGCTTTACAATTCTGGAAAAAAAATGTACAAGTGACTCAAAACATATTCAGAGTAGATCTCTTATGAGATGTATTCCCTACTGGCTCTCGGCGAGCTGCCTTGAAGGTGAGATGGAACAAAAATAGTTCTTGAAAAACTGGAAGTGAATTAGATTAATATATGCATTTTATAAAGTGCACTAAACCAATTTTGTCAAAAAAATTTTTTTGAGCTGTAACTGCTGCTGGGCTAAGAACATAATCTTCCTGCCAAGTTCCCAGTGGGAGCGAATTTTCATTGCTGAGTTTTATAAACCTCTGGGGGCGTGGAATGAGAACCCGTGTGCATAATGGAAACTGTGACACAGTCTCGATCACATGAAGACTACCAGGTGCAGCAGTAACAGACTCCATGTAGAAATCTTCCAGCTCAGACCCTGGTCTCCAGCCTCGTGAGCTGGTTCGCTCAGGGATTTCTAAGACAGACGCAAACGGCCAAATACTGGCACAACTGGCCAACTATTCCAGGCATGGGAAGGCTCTGCCAAGTAGAATGGTTACAGACCAGCAAGCAGACGTGAGGCACAGCTGCAGAGCCCTCTGCATCTGCTTCGCCACCCTCTGCCTCACTCGGATTGTGCTCGTCTTTTCACAAACAGGGCTTCGGAAAAGCTCCGAACCTTAGAAGTCAAAGACGACTCTCCAACAACCGCCATGGCACCTGCTGATCCACCTTCAAAATCTGCACCCCATCCACTCCTCTTCATTTTCACCATCCTGGATGACGACCTCATTACCTGTCACCTGGTCATTTGCCTGTCCTTCCCGCCTCCAATCTCGTCCTGTCCCCAATCCAGTCTACACAGATCCACATGTTAATATCCTAAGTGGCAACTCTATTTGCAGGTCCTCATTGCTAAACAACGTCATTAGCAGCTTCTCAATGCCCGTGAGTGAGGTTCACCGCAGCCTGGTACGCAAAGCCCTCGATGACTGGGCCTTAACCTCTCTATAGGTGCAGCTACTAGTATCACCTGGAGCAAACCAAACAATCCCCTAAGCTGGAGAATGTCCCCAAATATGGACTTTACTTCTCCTACTCATACCTCGGCTCACACGGGTCCTTCCACTGGGACTTTCCTGTGACGATCTCTCTGCCCACCCACACCCTGTCAACCTCTCAAAGCCCGGCTCCAGCTCTCCCCCGGGAAATCTCCAGCCCCAGGGCTGGAGGTAATTTCATAATTTATTAATCCCAGAGGCCTCCACGTATATTTCTTCCAGCACTTAGCACAGTCTACATGTGCTATCACCATCTGTGTCCCTGCCTCGGTTATTCTACTGGACCGTAAGCTGCTTGAAGCGTGAGATGATGCTAAATTCACTTTCTATGCCTCCTACCACTTAGCACAGCACATACAATAATTCTTAATAAGCATGCCAAGTGACAAAAAGGCCTAATTGTATAGTAAATCTGTTAAAATGTACAAAGCTCCTTAAAAAGGGATGGAATTCTGACACATGCTACAACACGGACGAACCTTGGAAACAAACACTACGCTAAGTGAAATACGCCCCACACACACGCGCGCGCACACACACACACACACACGGACAAATACCATACGGTTCCATTTATGAGGTGCCCACAACCGTCACGCACAGACAGAAGGCACAATGGCGGTTGCCAGGGCCCGTGGGGGGAGCGAGGGGTTAGCGTTTAATGCACACAGACTCCACGTGGGATGACAGAAGTTCTGGAGATGGGCGGTAGTGAGCAGTTACACAACAAGGTGAATGCAATTAATGCTCCTGAACTACACACTTGAAAAAAATGGTAAATTTTATGTATATTTTACCACAATTAAAAAATAAGATGAGCGAGTGAATGAATAAAATGGAAAGATTTTAAAAAGAGAGAAAAAATGCACAAAGCTGCCTGGCACCTTGGCTGTTGGACAGCAGCCTCCCCCTGCGCACAGCACAAAGCTGTGGGGCGATAGCGCGGCTCACACGCTCGGCCCTGAACGGGCCTCTGCCTCCCGGCGGCCGTGCAACCCTACCTCGGCGTTGGTGGCGGTGACCAGGGTGGAATTCGAGAAATGGCCGTGCCACACAAGGAAGTTCCACTGACATGTGATGCCAGCCTGCTTGGTTTAGGCTGTGCTATCCTAGCTTCCATCTGAACGGTCACTTGCAATCTTTCACTAGTATAAATTTTCTATTTCCTCTATTTTTCTGGCCTCTCTGGTGTTCTCTGCAATTCACATGTTCTTGTTTCTAATCTCCCCTGTTGTGGCCTAAACTGGCCCCCGTGTGGCTCTGGGAGGTACCCGGTCCATCGCCCTGGCTGGGTGGGTGACCACTCGCTGCCTTCTGCCAATTGCCACAGCAATCTCATCTCCAATTAAGTATCTCACTGGCAAAACCACACCAGCCTGCTCGAAGTCCAAGTGAATTATGTCCATTGCTTCACCCACTGGGCTCATTGTCACCGACTCAAGAAATTAATCATGCTGGTTAAGCCCGACCGCCTTTCTGTAAATCTATCTGTATCCAATTTGTATGTTTCCAGTGTTCTGGCTTAATCCCTGACCAAAGATCACAGGCTCCTTTCCAGTTTAGGAGATGGGCTTATAGGTATGTGGTTAACAATTTAATTCCTAAATTAAAAAAAAAACATAGATAAAGATGACTTGTCGTGTCTCCCTAAGCCCTTTATATTTTTTTTAGGAGGAAACAAACCAACCCTGCCGCACATACTTTCTTTGATTTGCCATCCCTTCTGAAATATTTTATTTCCACTTTCTCTTTGCAATTTCCTAATCATTTTTTCTCAATCCCTCTAAAATAGAGCCTAAAATATTTGTTCTATTATTTCTGCTGTCATCAATTATACATTTCCTGCCTCCAGGATATAGCGCTATTTCTTGCTTGTTTTCTTCAGTCTCTAACACACACAAAGAATCCTCCTGTTCCCCGGAGAATTCTCTGGGCTGACACAGCTCACTTCAAGGCTCATCCTTCCCTATTACGAGGTTGCTGAAGTCTTTATACCACGCGGATGCTTCTCTCCATGGACACATTGGCTGCCCTGGTCACCTCCTTCTGCTTTGGACACACGGGACAGGGTCACGGCCAGAGAGGAAACTGCAGGCTTGTTCTCACTACAATCTGTAGATGAATCCGATCTCATGCTGTCCCAATAGTACACACCGAAAAAGACTTCAATGAAATCCTAGCAGCAGCAGTTCTACCAACAGAGCCCCAGGCTTCTGCAATGTGCCAGGGCAAGAGCTGTTGACGTTTGTATTGTGAATCGAGGAACTGTAAGGTTCTGAAATGCTTCCTGAATCACGCTGATGTGAGAGTTGATCTCTCCTTCATTTTTAGTATTAAGTACTTTTTATTGTGTTGAAATGTTTGAAATATGAAAACGGGTAATCCCTAAATTATATATACTTGGTAGCTTTTAATTAACAGAAAAACTCATTTCCAGTGAGTAATAGAACATTTTCCTATATGTTTCCGTACATTTTTCCTGTTGTTCTTACAGTCAGACAGATCTACGAATCCAAGTTCAACAAACACTACTGCCACCGCTGCACGGAAGAGCTGCGGAGCGGTGCTCAGGCTGGCGATTGCGTGTCACATCCCATCGCACATATGGATTATCAAAACATAAGCTTGGACAGAGATCTTCTCCAAAGTCCCCTTTCCCACTTGTAAAAACCGCAGTGGCCGTATAAAAAACCTGCCAGAACATCCCAGAGTGCCCGGCCCATCTGTCCCATCATTAAACCCTCCATGTTCCCTATCCCACGTGCCTCCCTTGCTCCACGAAACGTCATCACCTGTCTGCAGCAGCAGTTCCGCCCTCTCAGATGAACTGAGCAGGAGCCTGCGGCTAGAAACGCTCCACTGGGGTGGGGGGGCAGAAGCCACAGAGCGGAGGGCATCTGGCAACTGCGAAGGAATGCGGG